TGTCTTCGGGGACTGCAGCCATGAGGAGCTGTCGCCCTTGGACACAGGATTTCCTTACGGCTTTTTGTTCCAGGGATTTCAGAGCTATTTCCAAACGCACACATAGAGAGTATCCACAAAGTTTCTTCGGTGATGAGAGAGGCTTTCTGCAACTGATTGTCAGTGCAAGTTGTACAGTAGCTCGTTCAAGATGATGAAAAGCAATACTGTGCTCTTTTGTGAAATTATGCAAGAATAGACTCTAATGGTGGGGGGACTTGTCTTTGCAGGTTTGTGAGTCAAGTGTGTGTGGAAAAATCACAGGTGTTCAGAAGTAACGCTCCTTATCCTACTGATACCATTGCTATCCCAGGTCAGCGTGATCTGCTCTTCTGTGTGCAGCTGGATGACCGTAAGTAACCTCTCCTTCCACACGTTTAAGTCATAGTTGCCTTTGTTTAGGAAATCTTTTTTTAAAAACGTAGATGTTATAATTGTTACTAGTTATTTGGGCTGTTGTAGTTCCAGAGTGACCATAGTGAATCAGAGTCTGATCACTAAAGATGTAGCTTGGATGTAGCCAAATTTTACCCTTTTCCCACACTACCCATAGAATCATAAAAATAGGATTAGAAGGATTCTGAATTTGTAATCTCATCCAAAGGAAGGATTGTCTGTGTCCGGATTGCTGGCGCCAGATCTTTATGGCCATTTAATATTTGGGGCCCATATCGATCACACGATTAGGCCACTGAATAAGCCCGAGACATTTCATTGCACGTGTATGTTAGGAGCGTGCACTGGGGAACAGCAGAACTCACTGGTCATACGGCCTTTCCCTTTTCTGTGCTTGTTGCTGGAAGAACCTCTGGGAAGGACTTTGTTTGGGATCAGCTGAAGAATGATAAAGTTTTCTGGTGGAAACAGCTTTCTCCCCTTTGGCCTTCCCCAAGGAAATAGCTAAACAGATATATTGTCATCAACTGATTGCGGAAGGAACCTTTGCAGGATGGATGGTGACATGACCCACCACTGCCAGAGGTGCAGTGAAGCTGCTCGACAGGGGCTCTGGGAAAATAACCAGTGGGAACAGGCTGTGAAATCATGAACTACCGTGGCCACTAGCAAAGCGATTGCAGTGCACAAGTTGAGCTCACCTCATCGAAACCACTGCTAGCGAATGCCAGAGTCGTATTCAAGTCTTACTGATACATCTTTATGGTACTTCTAAAAGACACAGTTTTTCTTCTTCCTCTGCTTGTCACTAATGGCTCTTTCCATGACTGTCCTCATTCCTTCTTGACTGCAGTACTCTATTCCATCGGTCTTCCCTGAAGTGTAAAACACCCTTTGCTTCACCCAGTCATCTCTCTTGCCTGTTTTTCTGACTATTGTCATCATTCAGTTACCCTGGTTTTGTACTTTTTCATACTGTTGTTCTCCATCTGACAGCTGTTCCCAAGTCTGACGTTCCTCTAAACTTGACAGCTCGTCAGACCCAAACTTCTCTTCGTTTTGTGTGATGTGGCCCTTTCTTCTTTGCAGTTGTTCCCATTACAGCCTTGTGCTAAGGGTGGAGTTTCTCGTACATCTTAAACTGACTGTGACTGCTCGCCACATTCCCCAGGCTTCTTTCTGTCTAGTGACGGGGACGCTGGCTGAGTCAGGCGGTCTTGCTGATCCAACTGACCATTAAGAGGAAGAGATCAGTTCTCAAGGACAGCTGGAAATACTGGATATTTTCAAAATACTTAAAATACTTTTAAAAGCATTCCCGTATCACATACTAGGTACTCAAGATAACACCTTTGTCTTTAGTGCTTGCAGGTGTTAGAATGGTATTGCTGCTATTTCCACTTCTAAATCAGTGGAAGGACAAATATGAGTGCATTCTAAAGTTACAAGAATCATTATCCACAAGCCTGACTACTGGTGTGGTGTTTTTTTTTTTTAAGTTTCAGACAAATTAAATTGTTTGAAGTTATTTTTTGTGTTTTTCTGCAAGATTAAATCGCCTTTAGTAGCTAGTGTGCATTCCTGAGCAAACTACACGGTGAGCAAATTATATATGTCTTTTCACTGAAAACGATTTGAATAAGTTTTGTTGCAGCAGGCCGTTTCTTTCAGTTTGCAGGTATATTTTGCATTATGTAGTGTTGTTAATCTGTGTTAGCAAGTGTTCAGCTTTGATAATACGAGAGTACATAAAGAACTGCATTTCAAAGAAGAGAAGTACTTGTGAGTAGCACAATTAGTAGTTTTCTTTTTCAGTCTAGTGATTATGCTTTCAAGTGGATACTAAGAAGACTGCTCTGTGCACCTATTTTTGTGAACCTTGGATATAAAAAAGCTTTTATTTCTGCTTGTTGCTCTGTAAGTCTGAGGATATGCTCTTTCTTCAAACAGCAGAATTACATTGAGAGCTTAATTTTTTTTTTCCCTCAAAATTTACTAGACTACCTAAATTATTTTGGGTACTCCTGTAATCAAGAATACCAACACTCACTCCTGTTATTGGTAGGATCTGTAGTCCTGGAACCTTGTGAGATGCTTTATTTGTGTGTATTAAAATGTTTGTTGTTTGGACATGTCCATTAGGATGCGCCTGCAAACCAAGTCCCTAATAATTTGCCATTTTTTGACTTAGTGTTTTAGCAGTAATAATGCAGCACATAGTGACGTTGTCCCCATACTGCATGTGGTGGGTCAGGAGGGCATCGCTCCTGGGGGATACCAGTGGAACGGCTGGAGGTTTTATGAGACCTGTTCTCTGTTCGTACGTATTTTGAGGCTTACCAGCTGTAGTTATTTTGAATCCCTTTAATGTTGCTTTTAGTGAAGTCACATACTGGTAGTGTTTTGTCACTAAAACAAGTGTGTCTGATTTGGGCGTCTTACAGAAGTGAGAGCACGTATTAAGATAGTTGTCTGAAGGAGTTTTCATGCTTTTGGAAAGTCACGTTTATTTATTAACGTCTGTTTCCCATGAAGCGGTACAGAGTAGTTCTCATGATATCGTCCTGTTCATAGGCCCTATTAGTGTTACTATGGATTGAGTAAGGTACTGTCTAACTTACTATTACTGAAGTTGTTCCTTTTAAAAATATTGCCACAGTATTTACTTTTTCTTAGATCTGTCTTTTCTGGTAATTTGATTTTAGTGTATTCATTTTTTTTTTTTCTGTCTTCAACCTTTAGCAAAGCTGAATTATTTCCAACAGCCGCAGAATATCAAAGAATCTAATTTTTCAAAGTTCTTAGACAAGTACGGTGGACGCTCTTTCTTAGTCCCGTCACAAGTCGAGCCATCATTCTCTGCCTTTTACCGGGTAAGTCAAAAGAAAATAGCAACCAGTTTGCAGATTCACTTTTACTAAATGTCTCTGTGATGAGATCTAATGAGAACATATTGAAAGATTCTTATTTTTCTACCTATAATCCATATTATCTCTCAGCTATTTTCATAGGATGCGAATCACAGAATGTTAGGGGTTGGAAGGGACCTCGAAAGATCACCTAGTCCAACCTCCTCATTCCTTATTGTGTAAAAAGTTTCTGTTTTTTCTACATTTAAAATTTAGACAACCCTTTAGACAAAACTGGGTGTACACTAAGAAGAAGGGCAAATTTGCCTCTGTGCCGTGATGATGTCATCACTTTGCCCTTGGACTTAGTATTCCACAATCCCTTTAGTTGTGATTTATCCAAATTGTCATTTCAGGCTGGTGATCCCATCCTAATCTACTTCGAGTCTTCATCTGTGCTGAGCACACTTAGACAGCCGGTAAAAACGGGAGCCACTGGACTTTGTGTTGATGGAAATCCTGCTGGTTAGTAAAGGGGGAAGGATTTCTTAGGGGGGTTTGCTGTGTTTCATCTGTTGTCATGTCTTAACACAGGCTTCTTGGACAGTAAAAGCACAAGCTGTACTCGCATTTTTGCCAACTTGAGCAAGAGCTGCCTTACTGACCCTGCCCTAGATGCTGCCTCCTACTTCCGTGACTTCACCGTGCTAAAGGTGAGTGTCATATTTCTTCCTTTTTCTCAACATCTTATTTGCTTGACTTTCCAGTACCTTCCACTGCAGCTTCAGCTGACTGGAGAGCTGAGGGTCATCTGATGTGGCATCCCTGGTCTCCTCGGTGTTAAGGCTGCCTTGCTGGAAATCCTGTTAATAATGTCACCATTGGCCATAATCCCTCAATTCAAGCTACTTTCTGCTAAATTTCAGTTATTAGCAAATTCTTAATGCTTCTAACAGGTACCTTACTGATACCTCACAATTTTAATGGTTTAACTAGTGCTCTCTCACTTTTTAAACAGGCTGTTTATCAAAGTATTTCTGTCTGTTCCATCAACTTGATCAACCCACTGTGTACCTAGTAAAGAAAAAGGATTTGTTTTACACAACACGTTGTGTCTAAAATCATACTAAAGGCCAGTTATAAATATTAGTTGTATTTACATTCATAGATTAAATTCCATATCAATTTCTCCATTATTTATCCTGAAAGTAATTTCAAAATAACCTATTTATTGTTCTGGGTTCATCATGCTGGCCTTTACTGAATGTTAACATGAATATATCTCTTCTCACATTCTAGACTTTCTCTGGTGTTCCAAGATAAAACAGCAGTGTAAAGAAAAACACCTTTATTAAGGCTCATGAGTCAGTTTACCCTTATACTGGAAATCTAGATCTACATAACTGTAGATTATTGTAGCAGAGAGTCTTCTGTTGATCAATTTTAACTCCTGTTTTGAGGTCTTTCCTTTTCACTGTGGCCAAAATTTAATTTTTCCTTAAATGGAAGCTGAAGTAATTACTTGATCCCAGAAGGAGGAACTCCAGCAATGCATCAAAGATGCTGATATTTTCAAGTATCTGCATTCTGCAGGGCATTAGCAGGGCCAAGAATACTTTTTTTTCTTCTGGTGTTGCACAAATGCTTTCTTTGGATTATGTCTGTGATTTCTAGATTGCAGACTGAAAACACATTTTACACATGTGGAGTAAACAAAGTATTTTTTGTCAATATAATATGTAGGCTCTATTTAGTGATGGTTTAATGACTTTAGGCACTTGCAAACCCAGGAAGTTTGTTGTTTTATTGGTATTGTATGTTGTGGGTTTTTGTTTTCCCCAGGTCCCGGTTAGTGACACCATTGCGCAGTCTATGAAGGTCAGTTTCAGCTTCTGAAATAAAACTTCTCTGGAATCTTAGGCATTTACTGTAATCCCCATGGGTTGGGAACTTGAGCGAATGGGAATGTTCCACGTCTGAGACACTTGTTTTTTTGTACAAAAATGTGATGGCATAGGAAGAAAAAGGGACATAAGGAAAGATTTATTTTTAAAATGGGCATAGGCAGCGCTGAAGTTGGGGAGGTAACTTGTTTTTTTAGAAAACATTGGGCAGCTGGAGCCAGGTGCTGTGTCCACAGATCACAGCTACAGCAGGAAGCTAAATCTGACTTTGATGGAGAAGCAGTGGCAAAGAGTCAAAAAGGCACCCTCCTTTTTAACGACTGCTAATTGTTACTGTGCTTACTGTCTGCAGGTACCGGTCACTGCAGTCGCACCACCAGGAGCTCCCCACATGAGGAACAACACGTGTCACAATGTGGTTTCTGAGGTGTCTGTATTTCTTTCCTTTGGGTATCTCAACACTAGCTTAAATTCCTTGCCCTATTACCTGACCCTGCCTCTGATTTTTCTCTGAATCGGACTTTCAGGTGATCTACGGGATAGAATTTAGTGGCACACGAGGAATTCAGAGTGTTTCTGTCTGGTTCAAAGTGAGCAACATCTCTGGGAGCTCAGGATCCTCTCTGCAGCAGCACTTCACTTTGCGCTTCTGGGTCAGTGCCGCCGTCCTCCTTGGGCTCTTACCTAGTTTGTCATTTGCAACGCAGGTTTTACAGATGAGACGGGGTAAGATTAGAGCAGTGTCGCTGTGCTGCGGCAGGAACAGAACCCTGGGACACAGGTGGTGCTTGAGGGAAGGAGAGGATGCTGCTCGCTTTGGTCTCAAGTAAACCATGTTAGTAGAAAAACCCGGGCTCAGTGTGAGCCTGCGGTCATGCACTCCGTAAGTTTGGAGGGACTGGTTAGTTTGATGTGACTATTTTATGTTGTTGTTTTGATTTGGGCATTTTTATGGGTTTTTGTTTGGGTTTTGTTTCATGAGGAAAGAAGGGGAGAGGATGAAATCAGGGTCACCAGATTGTTCTTGTGAAGGAAAGGATGGGAGCTGGTGCTGTATTTTCGGTGTTTGGTGTTTGTTAAACAAAGTTGTCAAATTTATTCTGGGTACTTCTTTAACTTTGCCCCTGCAGCAGGAAAAAGAGTTATTTTGGAGGGGATAGAAGTCTGGGAAATACTAGTGTGTGCTGGAGTTCATATAAACAGGTTGATAAGTGGACAGTGCAACCCTGCTGAAGTTATCCCCAGAGGCTCTCCCCATAAAACAATTTAGAAGTGGAATCTGCCACTCAAAATTGGGGTCACAGCAAGAGTTGTTGTGCATATCGTCTGTAGAAGTCCCTAGACTGGTACGTTCACTTCCTTAGAGACAAATGCTGAGCCATAGAAATTCATTGTCTCAAGAACTGTCCTGGTAATCAGGGTACTGGGAACTTGCCAGGTAAGAAAGAGGATTTGGAAACAAATAATGGAGATTATAGTAGTGCATAATATTCTGTCATTCAACAAACGGATTACATTTACATTTTTGAGAAAGTGAATTTACTCATCTGAAATGAATGTATCTTAATGATGCTAATATTTTCCTTTCTTCCCTTTGCCTCTCTGTAGACCAGGGCTCTGTCTCATATGTTGCCTAGAAGTGGAAACCCTGGCTACATCACTGGAGCCCCACTGCTGGTTGCAGACGGTGGTACCGTGCAGCATGTATCCTTTTCCGGCTATCAAGTTCTATTTATCGCTGGATTTATTGACTTATGGTACTTCACTGTGTGGATTTTTGAGCTTCTGTGGTAGCCATCAGCAGACCTTTTGGTCATGACTGAACTGTAGTCCTGTAATGATCATAAGGAGGAATGTGGGGTGAGAGGACTGTTAAATACAATTAGGTGTCCTGTATTGTTTGGCGATGCTTTTGTTTGGCTTCTTGACGTGGAGTCTGTCAGATGAGCATTTTACAGAGTGAAGGTGATGGAAGTTGCTCACAGTCCCTCAGACACACAGTTCAGTTTGGAAGAAATATGAGGACAGGCTGCAAGCTCAGGTAACAACAGATCCTGCAGTCACCGTTCCTGACACGTTTGGGGGGTGTGGACTCACTTAGGATGGTTTTCAAGCACAAGTCTTTCAAGCATTGCTGTGCCTCCTGGGTCCTTCCTTGAGGTCACCAATGGGTCTCTACAGATCTTTCTTGTACTTCTAAGAGGACTTGAATGTCCTCTAGAATGGTCTGAACGTTTTGAAGGTCTGGGACATTTTGAGACTAGTCTGGCAACATGTCTAGGGCAAGAGTGGAGTTTGTATTTATGGAGTGAATAATAATAGAATGTTAACAAGTGATTGTTTCCATGATTTGTGTAATTATTCTGCTGGTGACAGGGCAGGTATATGACCACTGGTGTGATAAGATGGCTAAAGAGCTGTCAGTTTTCCTTATCATGTGTTACCCTGCCTTGCTACTGTTTTCCCTTGTCGCTGCAGATAGGATTGCAGCTGCGTCCAAATAATACCAATATTTCCATCATGAATCTGTTGACTCATTACAAGAGTAGAAGAAATACTCATTACGGAGGAAGTGCTTTTTTTGATAGCTTTTTTTTTTTTCCTCCCTGTCCTGGAAATCACTTTGTCAAAGCTGTTATTTTCTCATTTCCAGCCTACCCCCAATACTAGAAGAAAGTAACTGTAGTTACATCCAGCAGAAGTTATACAAGGCTTTTCAGGGGGTGAACAGAGCAGAGAACCTTGCTATAACGGGCAGTGCTCATCCAGCCCAGGAAGACGAGTGGACAACCATTCTGATCCAGAACTGCAGTGTGCAGGTAGTAGGAATGCAGAAAGATCAGCTATGAATGTTTTTCCTCTCACGGGGAAAAGAAGAACCAGCTTGTTCATCTGGGCTTATTTTCTTTGTATGATGATCCACTGACTCTCAGGGGTCTTAATGCCTGTAGGCAGTCATTCTTCCTATGGTTCGTATTATTAGGATACTTGCTAAACAAAACCACAAAAAAACCCAACAACCCTTACAGATTTAATATCTCTTGACTCTTATTCCCGCTATTTAAATGGGTAAAAAAGAGTTTGATACTGAGTTTTCTGACAGCCTTCTAGAACTAGTACTACCTGGTTAGTTCCTATTAATTTGTTCATTTTATTATTATTATTGTCCTTTGCGTTTTCTAGAGATATTTATTTGTTACCTAATAAGGGTAAAAGTTTGCAATCCAAGTACTTATGGAGGAGGGAAATTCTATTTTGAGTAATTATTAATCTGTTGGGAGATGGCCTAATAGAATGCAAAATCCAAGTGCTAGAGCTGGGACACGTTCTGTTTAGAAATGAGAGGACAACGACATGGATGGAGCTCTAGAACAGGTGGTTGACCTGAGCAGAGCCTGACTGTTAGCGCCGAAGTGACAGATTCAGGTTCTGTGTCCTGAGCTTTGCAGAACACTAGATTTTGACAACAGTGGTTCTTTTTCACCTTTAAAGTACTAGATTAAGATGTTTGGGGTGTATTTTCTTTTCAGGCTGTGAATTGCACTGCCTGTTGCGTGGTTCCTGTGACCCTGGAGATACAGATCCTGTGGAGTAAGGCCGGCCTACTGTCCAACCCTCAGGCTCAGATACTGGGTGCACGGTACCTTTATCAGTGTCATCCCCTGAAGGTATGGAATTTAAAACCTCTTCCGCACACAGCTAGGTAATTAAAGGGGTTTCACAGTTATTTAAGAATAAAGCAATCAATTGGTCTTGATACTGCTGAGATTTACTGAACTGGCTGCAATGGCAAGAGTTTGTAGTTAGCAGCTCCATAGACAAAGGTGGTTTTATGGGCTTATCAGTAGTCCTCACTCAGTTGGAAAAGGTACCTTCTTTCCGACCCGACTTCTGCCACTTAAGGGTACTTTAAACTTGTAAATATGCTCAGTGTAAAGTTGTAGTTACAAATATTTGATAACTACACATTTATCTAGTTGTCTCTTAAAGCCTCAATATGGAATTTGAGTTGATTTATATTTCACAGGCTCCACAGCATGCTGATAAGCTGTGCAAGGAGATAGTTCTGTTCCTCTGGGGGTTCTGAAATCACCAGCAGGTAGCTGAGGAAGAGTCTCATGCTGATGACAGCAGACTGAAGAATTAGGGGCAAAGGTTGTGAGCCAGAAAACAGGTTTCTAAGAGAACACTACATGACTGGAACATTCAAGGCCAGGTTGAATGGGGCTCTGAGCAACCTGATCTAGATAAAGATGTCCCTGCTCACTGCAGGGGTTTGGACCAGATCCCTTTTAAAGGTTCCTTCCTCCCCCAACCATTTAGCAGGAAGGTAGAGATAACAGATCCACAAAGGAGAACTAACAGTCTTTTTCAAGCGTGTGTCAGTGGATCCTACTTTGGTGCGAGGCTGGATTCCTGACATCACAAGGCCTTTTGGGCAGCAGATATATTTCAAGGCTTATATTTCTCTGCAACAGCTTTGGGGGGAGCAGCTCACACCTGCCCATGGCAGTGAGGTATGACATGGCAAGTGTCTGTCCGATCTGTTACTACTCTTTGAACTTCAAACTAAGTCTAAATGAGATTGGGATGTGTCCCACGGTATATGGTAGGAAAACGTTCACTTTGTAAAACACACGTTGCTCTGAGGCAAACTGACACCTCTCCTCCTTGAAGATATTTTCTAGATCTGAGATGTTACATGGCTTCATTAATAAAACTTCTGCCTGAGGAGGGAGACTTGCATTCCTAGTAAAAGTGCAGGGTGCATGTCCCTCAGTAAGGATTAAACAGTCAAGAATGATGAGATTCAGATTTCACCTGCTTGAGCAACTGAAGCTGATTACTTTAGAGCTCTAAGACAGGTGGCAAGGCAAACAATAACGAAGCAAGTTTCTGGCAACAAGAAAAAAAGTCACGCCATTAAAATCAGTACTGACTTCATCAGTTGTGACCCACAAATTAGGGTTGTTAGTAACACATTTTAGCAAAGGTACCAGCCGGTACCGTACCTGGCAGTTAAGCAATGCAGCCATTTCTAAGCATACAGATGAATGCTGTATGTTGCTTTACTTTTACATTATGTCCCTTCCCAGTTTTAACCAGAATCTGTCCATTCTCTAGAGAAAACCTTTTTGTTTAAAGCACGCTGTGTCACTGGGAGTTGCCTCAGTGAGTGACTAGAGCACAGAACCCGGGAAAGATTTCCTGTTTTCTACACCCCTCCACAATATCTGGTCACAGCCCTATTTTGACTTTCTGGAAATACCAGACAATCTTAAATGATGTAGAGCTATACAGGACATGCTGGGAATTGCTTGTGGCTCCAGTCTCCTGGCTGCTGAGGAGGGTTGTGTGGGGTGGTTTTTCCCCCACTAAGCTCTCTGATTTTAAAGGAGAATTCGAAGGTCCAGACACAAAGCCAGAATTGTTTTGAGGCTTCTTGTTGACGAAGTCGATTGTATCTACAGTGTAGTTATTCAGTGGTGGGAGAACTGATATCCATTAGGAGTGAAGAAGGAATTCTGTTTGTAAGTGCTCTGGGAATCTGCAACCAAGGAATGATCTAGCACAGAGGGCAAGACGGTCCAACTGCAAGACAGAGCGAAACTGGTTTTGGAATGCCAGGCAAAGGAAGTTGGCCTTGGAGGTGAGATAAGCAGCAGCCTCAGCGTTGTCATGTGGTCACCCTGGGATGGGAACGCTCAGGTGCCAGAGCTCAGGGGCAGCCTGTGGGCAGCAGAGCTGGGCTGGGGAGGTGGACTCACCGCCAGGCTGAGCTGCCCCGCACTGAAGCTCTTGGGGCTGGTGCTGATGCAAGTGTATGTAACGAATCTGCTCCTGACGCATCTTTGCAGACTCCACACAGAACCACATATTGCAGTAGGACTCTACCCGATGCAATTTTTTCTCTTTTCTTTTTTTTTTTTTGCATTTAAACATGAAGTGTTTTTAATTTTCCTCAAGAGGTACCACAAAAATTCCCCAACAGGAGTCTCAGTACGTTTCTGTTAAGAATAATGAATTCTGCCTTGGAGCTTTTTTGAACACTTCCTGCACAACTTTGCTCTAAAGGCAATCTTTTAAATTGTTTCCAGCAAAGTGAATGAGGTGATGATTTCAAAGATTGGCTTAAACCAGTGCAAGCACAGAAGGAATGCTGCTCGCAGGTTCCTTTTCTTCAGGGTAGCATGGAGAGCTGGGAAGCTGGGGCAGGGATTGAAGTTGCTCTTCTGGCAGCAGCACAGTCTTAAATCAGCTCAAGATAGCCACGAAGCTCCACATGGCTCAAGGACAAGTGTATTGGTTGTCTTACAGCATTTTGTTGAGACAGAAAGGAACTGAGGCCTCAGAAGTTCAGACCCCTCTTCCATCTTTACCAACTGACCCACCATTCTGTCTCCTTTCTGTAACAATATCCTAAAATGAGAGAAATAAATTTGGTGTATTAGGTCCCTGCTTTATTTTATTGATATTTTACTGAAAGGATCAAATCTTGTGGCAGCCCTATCTGTTTCTCAGAGCAATCACCTGTTCAAAGGGCCACGTGATCTTCTCTGACATAACATACCTGATTTTATAGAAAATAAAGCTAGCTTTGCTTCTGTTCTCACCACCAGCTAGCTGTTTTGTCTGTCCTCTGAGTAGAAGGCTTACTCTATCAGAGCTCAAGTCACTGCTTCCATTTGGGAGATCTGTAACACGTGATACACAGCAGTTAATGATCTTTTCTGAGACCTGTGCCCTCCGTTTACCTGCTAAGTATCAGTTTTTGGAAAGAGGAGTTACTCCACTAAAAATGTATGTGAACACCCAACTCCTGCCATCCTAAAGACATCTTTCCTGCCAGCCTCCATTACCGGCCCATCTACAGTCTCCGTTAGCAAATCCAGGTGGGATATATCTTTTGCATTAGGCTTGCTAAACTCTTTGTGCTTTCCTTGTTACAGCTGCTAGGCACAAGCGTGGTACCTGTGACAACTGTGGTTACCTTCGCTGACATGACAGAATGGCCAGAACCTCCACGAGGTCAACCCCAAATGCACTGGAAACTCCCCTTCGACATATTTTTCCCATTCAAGGTGACGTGGAATTTGGAGCAAAGTTACAGAGGTGATCTGGCTGGCTGGTTTTTGTTGATTCTAATCATATCTGGCATTCTCTGCTTTTGAAAAGTCAAATAGATGCGGCCAGTACGTAAAGTTTGGTAAGTGAATTGATACGTTCAGAGTATGATCCAGGTCTTAGACTTTTCTCCTCAGGTCCTTACACTGTGCCTGTGATATCTGCGTGCCTTCTCTTCTTGGACTGAGCCACATGACGGGCTTCTGCCCAGTGTCCTCTCGTGCTCCTACTCTTTGCACGCACCATCCATGAGCCTCGCTGCAGGGAAACGCTTGAGAGAGGGAGGGATCAAGAGACATTGCACTGAGGAACAAGGAGGATGTTAAAACGAATGTTCCGTGTTTCCAGAAACCAGGAGTGGTTTGTAAACCAAGGAGTATGGAGCTGCAGTCATTTTCCTGTTGGAGAAGTTTTATCTACGTGGAACTAACTGAACATTTCAAATACAGGACCCCTCCCAGGAGGCCTGAATTATTATTTTATGAGTAGACATGTCTGGCAGTCACTTTGAGTCTGTCCTTGTTACATGACTACCATGCCTCTGTGACACTTTTTGACTCGTTTTCCTAGATCTTTTCAAACACAGGTATTTAATTGAAATGTTCACATTTTAATCACTGTTTACATTAGCAAGTGTTACATAAAGCAAAGAAATTGTAAATGTTCCATCATCTGAAATATAACTGAATTTTAGTTGTTTGTCAAGACAGCTTCCTTCCTTGTTTTTTTTTTTTTTGTCTTGAAGAAACAGACCCAAATATGTTTTTTCCTAGATGAAAGGAATATTCTCTTGTGATTCCAGGTAGGAACTGGGCTAATAATGATAGCCAGCTAAATTCCAGGTGGCACATCAGAGAAGTTGTGAACAGTCCTAAAGGAAAAAAAAGTATTTTGGGCAGATTTTGTAGCCGTGTTATGAGACTGGAGCTTACTTGCCTCTGGCTCAGTCTCTGGGACCAGAACGCAAATTCATTGTTTTTGAGGTTGAAGGTGATCTGATTGTCTAGTCTGCCCCACTGCATCTCACAGGCTAAGGAAATCTGCTCAATCATTCCTTGAAGTTGTTAGATGACCGTATATTTTTTGCCTTAAATTCTTCAGATGCTGGAAACATCTGTCCCATGCAGTGGAATGGGTAACGGGCAAGAAAATCAAATAAATCTGGCCTACCTTTAACAAAATGTATTTGCTGCTTTTTTATAAATATATATATACACATACACACACTGTATGGAGTAACTTTGTTGCTCTTCCTCATTACATATTTAGAGAGAAGTGCAAAAATAAATTGAAAAACTTGTAATTAGTCAGGATATCAAAGGAGATAACCTGAATAAAGCAAAACCAAACCACGACCCATCAAAAACATGCAGATTATGGGGTAACATATATAACTTTGTGATGGTTTGTGTGGTTTGTTCGCTTGGACAGAATTCCATGCAAGGGTGTGCTGCTCCCATTGCTCCTGGCTCTGGGGCAGCCCACGCAGGCCAGTCTGAACAGACGCAGGTTCTCATGGTTCCAGTACAGCAATGAGCTTCAGGTGTAGGTACATGTGGCTTCTCAGCTGTGCCTACAGTACTTTTGCAAAGCTTTTAGCAAAATACATTTGTAGGGTATGTTGTGTGCCCTCTTGTTTTCCTAATTTGTGGAATCCATGAAATTAATTTAGAGGTGACAGTAACTTAATCAAACAAAGGGTTAGCTGGAGAAACTTGCTAGAGGTCGTGCTGCCAAGTATGCCAGGATATGGCTTGACTTAAAAGGATCTGGCACCTCTATTTTCTAGATCAGGTGACTAGAGAGATTCTTTTTTTATTCTATGAGCTGCAAATACATGAAGTACTTACAAGAATGCATCACCTAACTATTGTACCTCTCTGTCACAGCCCTCACCTCCACTGTGTTGTACCTGACCTCCACACATTTGGATCCTCTGACATCTGGTCATCGCAGGAAATAGAGCTGGAAAGAGCTTGTCGGTAACCTGGTCTAGGCTGACTTACGGGACGTTCAGTTCCAGCCGTGCCACGCCACACAGGTGTGGGGTTAGAGGCTGCAGTTGCCTGTGACGGTTTATTTCAGTGTCCACGTTGTCATGTTGTGCTTTTCCCCGCTGTCTGAACTTAAATGACCGCTGTTGGAATTGATTATCAGGTAACCCTGACGGCACTGACACACACAAGGCAGACTCGTGTCGGATACGCAGAGAGGGGATATTGATGTGGATCAAAGGGCTGAGACAATGCTGAGTAATTTCTCTGCTGCAATCTAGAACCATCTTTCCAATGTGTCCTGCTTGTCGGCAGGAGGGCTGTTTGTACAGACTGTAGGCTGCCCACCCAGGTCTTCAGCTCTCCCTGTGCAGTTGTTAAATTGTTACCAAGTGAATAGCAGTAAGTGTTCTCATTCTTGCTGCCTGACAGAGAACTGCTTCGGTGTATCGCTCCTGGCTTTCATCATAACATTTCTGCCTCCCAACAGGCAAACGGAAATAGTGAGAATGTCAATGTATGAAATTAAATATTCCAAGATCATTTTCCCCTTCTATAGTGTAAGAATATACATAAAATACAATTTAAAAGCTAAAGAAGACATCTTAAGAATTTTCTATAAGCTCCTTAGTGGGCTTCCATTTCCTTCAGGCATGTACCTGAGCCGATGTTAGATTTGTTTGCCAACTTTTAGCTGCTGGTCACCACTGTAGGGCCTGTAGTGAAAGGAGTTTTATATACTGTGCTCCCTGCACTGCCTTCTGCATCTGGAAAAACAGACTTCAGAAACAATTATCATAAGGATAAACGTGGTCCTGCGATGCCAGGCCAGGCTGGGCCGAGCTGAGCCAGGCTGTCTTGTCTCCTCTCTTGGGTCCACCTGCGGGCTTTCCCCATTTCCAGAGAAAACATTGTAACCGTCCTGACACTTGCGTGACACACAGAAATTATCACCCAGGTTTTGACCTGAGTCGGGGTGATAAGTCTCTGTTGTCCACTTGGTGTTTCTTCACAGGAGATACAACAGGATCAGACTAGAGGTTTTTTTAAGAAACCTGATAGCTCTCTGAAAGAGGTAATAAAACTGTAGATAAAGGAGACTTAATGAGCAAAGCTTACACAATTTTCCAAAAGCCTTTGGCGAGTGTCTCTGTACCATGAAATCAAGAACAGTGTGTTCTTAAATGTAAAATAACTGAAATGCTTTCATAAATGCTTATACCTATGCTGAGTCTGTACCCTCAATTATAAACACTTAGGAATGTTTGCCTTCTTTCTTTTCTCAGATTTGCTCTTGATGACACCGAGAAGCAACTTTTAAATTGTTAAAATAAAGTTTTCTTCCCTTGGCAGTGCTGGGTTAACGGTTGGACTTGATGACCTGAAAGGTCTTTTCCAACCTAAAGAACCTACAATACCCTTAACTTACAAACCAGTGTAAGATCCGTCCGAAGGGCAGCCAGCACGCTCGCCCTTGTGGAGGGGTCTGCTCTAAGTCAAAAAAAAGAAGTAGGAAGAGGGCCTGAAGGAAAGCCAC